ATCATTTGACAGCAATAATTATAATTTTAATTACAATAATATTTTAACCCAACATATATTCATAAAACATAATTAATTTGGTTAATTATTCATTTAATTAATACAATGTGTTAATACATTCCTTACAGTGAGTCACAATATTTAGCTGATAGAATATTACAGATATTATAAAAACTACTTTAAAATCAACGTTTCACTGGAAAAGGCCCACGTTTGCAGTCACCGCTCTAGTGTTATGGTAAACTATGGTACCATGGTATATGTTTGAAGGGCAATTCTAAAGTAGTTCAGGACCTACACAGCAAGTTCTAATTCCTAAATTTGTTGATATGATAAAGGGCACAAGTAAGTAAATAATTAAGTATGACAACACTTAAGAACATAGTAAACATCTGAAGAAAGCACTTGTGGTAAAAGGCAGCAAAGTGATGCAATGTGAACAGAAACCTGAAGTGCATGTTTCTACACCTTCACACCAGAATGAAGGCGGAGGGTGGGTGTACAACAGAATGTGTGCCAGGAGGGGAAAACAGGGCAGAGAAAAGGAGGGAATATTGGAGGGAGGTATCCAAATGCATGCTCAGTAAACAGAGATTGAGGGTTCGGGTCCAGATGGCAGCTGTTAACTCTGCTCACACGCACAGATGATTAAAAACACATTGCGCTGTGCTCCACACTTACCCATAAACACACGCACACTTCAGCGGATAAAACTTAGTTACATGGGCAGTGAGTCAGACTACATGAACATGTAAGCATTCCTTAGAGACATTAAAAATTGTGCCTCTTTAGACATTCAAAGTAAAGACATTCAAAGTCTCCTAAAACATGCATAGTGTACTGCCAATAGGCCAAAATAAAGATATAAGAAGGATGTCCAAGATGAGATAAAAGATAAAATCCTTCAAAAAGCAAGCTCAAAACACAAGATCAACTTCTTTGAATTTATATCGGTTTCATATATTTTTTAAAAACATTTCTACAAAAATCTAATAACTACAAAAATACCAAATGGTCTAACTATCATCAGGCAAAAAATACTCAAATATTTTATTTCCACCTTAAATAAACTAGTGTCCACAACTTACTATTTTAATAATAATTCAAACATATTTGTCAATGTAAAAAAAAAAAAAAGACCCATTAATATAGAGAGGTGTCCTTAAGATTTCTCAGAAACCATTCCTTATTATTAAAGGTGAAAATGTGTAATTTTTAAATCAACTTAATAACCTAGACACACCATGAATGTCCTTTCTGTTTATGGGTTTTTTAGTCACGTGACAACAAAATGGCTTCAATTGCTGATTTGCGAGATAAGTTTTTTTATGTTAATAATATTTTAAAGCAAAATTGCTTAACTGCACACTTTAAAGAAATAATAATAATGAGCCAAAATATGCCAGCTTAAAAAAAATCTTTAAAATATCAGAAATTACTTTTAATTCAGAAACTGAAAAAGTTGCTTTTTGTCTGAATCGCATGAAAAAAAACATTGTCGTCACGTCGTTGACCAATTTATTATATACTTGTAAAATATATTTATATTCATTTATAATGTGCATATTCTGTAGGATTCTGATATAATTAATGAAACGCTAATTATTTATCCAAAGCTACTGCTAAATATTATAAATACAGCGCCCTAAAGCAAACTGACTGCTCAAAGGGACAACAGTGATAAATGATGTTACGCTTCGCGGTTTTTAGACCTAGAACATCGGTTTCCAGCCCAGACCTACGAGCACCATCCCAGTATGCATAGCTTCGCCACTCTTTCCATCTTTCCTCGGACCGCTCATACCGGCTGGCTCACGGTGCGTCTGGCCGCTGTCGGTGTCTTCTGGGCCGCAGCGGCTCTGGCGCGGCGGATCCTCCTCGAACACAAGCTTGAACTCGAACTCTCCCTCCTCCCATCCCGAGCCCGGCGCGGCCCCCATCTCTCAATCCGAGAAAAGTACGACCGAGACCGGCTACAGATATATCACTGACCCTCTCTCACTTCTCAGTATCGGCTCCGTTTAAAACTCATGGGAGTCATACAGCTTCTCCAGAATGTCACTTTGCACGATCCGCTTTCTCCTTCGTGCGCCTTCCTTTTATTACACTTAAGAATTAAAAGTTATCCTCAAGCTTAAGTATCACAGTTGCATGGATCATTTTCTTATCTCCGCGTCGCTCTTGCAGTTTATCAGCTGCTCATCTCTTTCTTGAACTTTTTTTCTTCCCAGTAGATTCGCTTGCGATTTCCGTGACAGTCTGTTATTATAACTTCATCTCACGAACTTCCATCGTTCAGAACCGGCCATGTTCACAGCCTCAAGTCCCACATACGTTCATGTTCAATAACAAATATCCGTTGAATTTACATTCATACCATAACTCCTCCACTGTCATAGAACAAAAAAGTTATTACAAGTTCTTTTTCGTTCTTTACCCTTAATTGCCTTTGGGCGGGTTCCTCAGTACCGTTACTCTCTCCCTATTGGCTGTCTGACCTGTCAATCAACATACCCCCTCTTTCTTAGCTTTACGTACATGCCCGCTTTTGCTGCAAAGTGTGTTGATTGGCCAGTGAGCACAACTACATATTTTAGAGTGAAGTATAACTTTATGATACCCACAAAAATCTATTTCAACACACATTTTTTTAAGCAGAAACACTTTCTCTTCTGTCCAATAGAGAATTCCCTGGACAGGCACCAGTGAAAGCCTTGTCTGGCAAACAGGTTCTGAGAAAAACATATTTCATTCGTTTTCCACATGCTTAAGACAGTGGCTATTTTTGTTTCAGACAAGACACTGATGCTGAAGGCTGATCCATCCGTGACGCCATAACGACAGTCGTTCCCTCTCTCTCTTCCCATCATACTTTTCCCCACTTTGTCCCTCCCCTTCCTTCTCCCCAACTCTTTATCCCAGTTCCTCCTTTCCCTCCCCCTGTAAGATCTGTTTCTCATTATCTTCTGTAGTCTGCACTCTGTCTGAGACGGGAGATGAAAAACTTAAATAAACATGCTCTCTCTCTCTCTCTCTTTCTCCTCCTCTCTGACAATTCTCACAATAATTATCTTTTGTCTTATTTTAAAGCTCGTCTCGTGTTTGATGCTTGGTAGTAAGCTTTCCATGGCATCTATTGCTTGATAAAGTTGATTCACAAAGGCATCCGTCTGGCATTCATCAGTGCTGGAATTACATTCCCATTTAATTTAGTGATGTGATCAATTCAGAGAATAGAACACATATAGAACATGAGCCTTTTTGAAATTGGATCTCATGGTCTTAAGCACAGGGCTTGATTATGAGGCGGCACATTTTATCAAGTTATAAAAATATCAGAGTATCTACAGTTATGCGTGAGCTTCTCATCAGCAGCAATCTGTGCTGTCTTTATATACACTAGACCAAAATCACATTTATGGAAGAATGTTGCCATCCTGTGGACAACAAAGATAGCTAGTATGTTTAGTTCCCACACAGCCTCCAATCACGTCACAATGACATATATGCCAATCTGAGTTACTATAAACTTCATGCAAAGCAATGATTAAGCTGCACTTTGGTGAACATGAGAGTTTGGAGAAGCTTATGTTACTCATGGGAATCAGGTCACTGAATAATGACCCAGAGGTCAGAAATAAGGAAGTGGATTTTCTCGCTAAGTTTTCCTCTCCCTCTCTCTCCATCTCTCTCTCTCCCACAGAAATTTCTTATATATATAACAGTAGTTTCCCATTTGGAGCATGGATAGAATGTGTAATATTTTTAATAATGGACACTGATAGACATGATGACTCATGCAGTGAGTTTGTGTGTGAAAATACAATTCCCTATTCACTGACATCCTTTTACTATACATACTGTAAAAAACAAAGGTTCTAAAAGAGAGTTTTCACAGCAATGCCATATAAGAACTATTCTGCGTTCCCCAAAGAATCTTTTAGTGAACAGTTTTTAAAGTCTGAAGAACATTTGAACCTTATAAAGCCTATACTAACTGTATCAGATTTGGCGTGTACATTTCTAAAGCCTCTAAGTTAGCATCATGATTGAAACTTGTTGTTCACAATCTTCAACATGCCTTCTGTCTTTGTTTAGCCTCCACAAATAAAACTACAGAGCTTTGATCACAAAACTAAGCATTTAAATATAATCTTACTAAGACATATTACTGGGACATATAGAGGCTTCTGAATAAAAAGTGACTTTTTTCACTTAAGCTTCATATTCATCTATATGAGCAATAAAATATGATGTATCAAATATGATATTGAACAAAAAATAGATATGCAAAAGTCCATTTTTAAAAACCATTTTTCTGACTATTATTTCATATTTCAATCTTTACAGAGTTTATCATTTAAAGAACCTTTTTAAAGCGATGGAACATGGATGGAACCATAATGCCAATAAAAATAGTGCTGAAAGTGCCATATAGCACACAATTTCTTGGATGAACCTGACTCTTGTGTCCTTCTCTGCCCTTCTATTTAAAACTCTTCTGAAAACCAAGAGAATAATGTACCTTACAAATAAGTATGGCTTCAAAAGACGTGGAATAATGAAGATGAGTTATGAACCAGTTTTATGATACTTTTATCCTTTAATTTAGGAGCCTAACAGTACCCATCTCTATTCATTATACAGAAAAAAAAAACATTCTTCAAAGTTTCTCCTGCTGTGTTCCACAGAGGAAAGAAAGTCATTAAGGAACATGATGGTGAGTAAATGATGCTTGAATTTTCAACTATTCCTTACATAAACCGAGAAAGTTGTATAGTAATCTATGATAGAGATCTATCAGATAAGTTGGTAAGAGCAGGTAGAAGAAACGTGGGTGTGCGCAGAAGTGTGGAACTGTGTCATACACCACACCTTCCTGTATTCTCCTTGCATGCTGTAGCCTGCAGGTTAGAAAAAAGAAACTTGTACTTTTGTTAAAGGAAAAAGACAGAGAAATTTGGTGTGTTGAAATATTAGGGAGGAGGAAGGATGGGGGGTGGAGTAAATATGAACATGAACATGAATCTAGTAGTTTAGAGACAGAACGAAGCAGTTGGATATTTATAAGTGTGCTTGATTGCTATAGTAGCCCATATAAAATTTAGATTTTCTGTGAGATCACCGAAAAAACAAGAACTTACGAAATTTTGACGAAACTATTTTAAAGTTTATCTGACACAGTGGAAAGAAAAAGAGAGACCAACTTGGAGACCACACAACCTAACCAGCTCCATCTGGTCACTTCAGGCGGAACACAGTTCAGCCATTCGGATCTAATCAAGTGTATTGGTGAGTTACAAGAAACGCTCTTTGATTTTGTTCTTTTTTTGTTCCTTTATTTGTCTCTTTCATCATTTCCCAGTTGTCTAATTTTAATAAACCCATCCTTACAGAAATACATAACAGTCTTTCCACTTATTTCTCATAATCAGCCCATTTTTCCATCTCCCACTCTCTGTGATCACTCTCTGTTGATGCAACTGTGTCCAGTTTCTCAATTTCAAACATCTTTGAGGCTCTGAGGTCAGCATTGTGCTTAATCAGGGATGACTTTTGTGACAGCATTGCAGACTGGACAATCTTATCTTTTTGCATACTGATTACAATACTGATTCACTACAACCTGTTCACTATGGTTCAGTTGTGACTACCGTACTTTATCTGTTTCTTTCAATTCCTTGCTTTATTTGTGGTCTTTTAACTTAACTTAAATATTTAATGTTTATTCTTTAATATGGTCTTTTTTCTTGACAATTGCTGTGATAAAATAAACTGATAACACTTTAGTATAGGGACCAATTCTCACTATTAACTAGTTGCTTATTAGCATGCCTATTATCAACCTATTGGCTGTTTATTAGCATTTTTAGGGTAGTCGTGGCCTAATTGTCTCTTTCATCATTTCCCAGTTGTCTAATTTTAATAAACCCATCCTTACAGAAATACATAACAGTCTTTCCACTTATTTCTCATAATCAGCCCATTTTTCCATCTCCCACTCTCTGTGATCACTCTCTGTTGATGCAACTGTGTCCAGTTTCTCAATTTCAAACATCTTTGAGGCTCTGAGGTCAGCATTGTGCTTAATCAGGGATGACTTTTGTGACAGCATTGCAGACTGGACAATCTTATCTTTTTGCATACTGATTACAATACTGATTCACTACAACCTGTTCACTATGGTTCAGTTGTGACTACCGTACTTTATCTGTTTCTTTCAATTCCTTGCTTTATTTGTGGTCTTTTAACTTAACTTTAATATTTAATGTTTATTCTTTAATATGGTCTTTTTTCTTGACAATTGCTGTGATAAAATAAACTGATAACACTTTAGTATAGGGACCAGTTCTCACTATTAACTAGTTGCTTATTAGCATGCCTATTATCAACCTATTGGCTGTTTATTAGCATTTTTAGGGTAGTCGTGGCCTAATGGTTAGAGAGTAACCCAAAGGTCGCGGGTTCGAGTCTTGGTACCGGCAGGGATTGTAGGTGTGGGGAGTGAATGTCCAGTGCTCTCTCCATCCTCAGTACCATGACTGAGGTGAGACCCTTGAGCAAGGCACTGAACCCCCAACATTGGCTGCCCACTGCTCTGGGTGTGCACTTGGATGGGTTAAATGCAGAGCACAAATTCCAAGTATGGGACACCATACTTGGCCACAGGTCATGTCCTTTCCTTTCCTTTCTGCATGACCATATTCTATAGATCCCTAATCCTAAACTTAACAACTACCTTACTAACTATTAATAAGCAGCAATTTAGGAGTTTATTGAGGCAAAAGTCCTAGTTAATGGTTTGTTAATGGCGAGAATTGGACTTTAAAATAAAATGTGACAAATGATCTTAATAAAATTGGAAGTAAAATTAGTTTCTTGCCAGATGAGGGTGAGTGTGAGGATGTGATCAGTGATATTACAGCAGCAGTGGCATTCCAAGTAGTTGAGCTCAAGATCACTCAGCAAGTTGTAGCACGTTGTTTTTCTTTTTCTTTTCACTGATGGGAGATTACTGGTGAAATATTTACATGGTTGCTGAGAGCCCATCCTTGATACTGGCTCACACTTTATCTGCCTCTGAAGGAAATATTATAAAAGGAAAGTTCACTGTAAAAATGATTTTTCAAAGTTGTTATATTATTGGATGTTTTACAAGAAAATACTATTTCAGTCTTCATTTCAGTACTTTGACAAAATTTCATGTTTAACTTAATGTGTAACTCACCATTTCTATAAAGGGGTCCTATTATGCTCTTTTACAAAGTCGGATGGGTTAAATGCAGAGCACAAATTCCAAGTATGGGACACCATACTTGGCCACAGGTCATGTCCTTTCCTTTCCTTTCTGCATGACCATATTCTATAGATCCCTAATCCTAAACTTAACAACTACCTTACTAACTATTAATAAGCAGCAATTTAGGAGTTTATTGAGGCAAAAGTCCTAGTTAATGGTTTGTTAATGGCGAGAATTGGACTTTAAAATAAAATGTGACAAATGATCTTAATAAAATTGGAAGTAAAATTAGTTTCTTGCCAGATGAGGGTGAGTGTGAGGATGTGATCAGTGATATTACAGCAGCAGTGGCATTCCAAGTAGTTGAGCTCAAGATCACTCAGCAAGTTGTAGCACGTTGTTTTTCTTTTTCTTTTCACTGATGGGAGATTACTGGTGAAATATTTACATGGTTGCTGAGAGCCCATCCTTGATACTGGCTCACACTTTATCTGCCTCTGAAGGAAATATTATAAAAGGAAAGTTCACTGTAAAAATGATTTTTCAAAGTTGTTATATTATTGGATGTTTTACAAGAAAATACTATTTCAGTCTTCATTTCAGTACTTTGACAAAATTTCATGTTTAACTTAATGTGTAACTCACCATTTCTATAAAGGACTTTGCAAAACTTTTTTATGCTCAAACAGCAACATTACAGACTAACTAAAGTTGAAAAAGTGAAAAAGCATAATAGGACCCCTTTATTTGTGAAATTATTCAGTTTATCCTATTTTCCCTATTTACGTTCAGTGAAAAGTTAACCCTACAGCAGTTTTTGATTCAGTATATAAAAAAATTAACAGGTGACATGACTTTCCTACTGAAAAAATTAAATTAAATTGAATTAAATTATTCATTCATCCATCCATCAGGGTTAGGGATATAAAAGCATTTTACATCATCTTCAAATAACGTTGCTTTCTGATTCCACCAGAAGTTAACCCTACAGCAGTTTTTGATTCAGTATATAAAAAAATTAACAGGTGACATGACTTCCCTACTGAAAAAATTAAATTAAATTGAATTAAATTATTCATTCATCCATCCATCCATTAGGGTTAGGGATATAAAAGCATTTTACATCATCTTCAAATAACGTTGCTTTCTGATTCCACCAGTTTTTCTGACGCCTTCCTGATAATGGGATCAGATAATGGGACTAGCTCCTTGGAGAACGTGACAAACAGTAACAACATTGTGAGTAACAATATCTCTGTTACCTTTGGGGCCCTCATCCTCAGCATCGTCTTCCTCCTGGGTGTTCCTGGCAACCTCTTCATTATCTGGAGCATCCTGGCACGTGCCCGCAAACGCTCCGTCACTACCCTGCTCATCCTCAACCTGGCTTGTGCAGACGGTTTTCTGATGTGTCTGACAATTTTCTTTATAATATACCTAGCCAAGCAGAACTGGATATTTGGAAGTGTCATGTGCAAGCTGCTTTTTTACTTGTGCAATACAAACATGTATGCTTCTATTATGATCATTACGCTGATGAGTCTACACAGACTAGTGGCAGTGATGTGGCCCACATACTTGACTGCCTGCACTCGTAGACGGACAGTATTACTTGTGCTTGGGTGCCTGTGGATTGTCGTATTTCTTTTGGCACTTCCTGCTTTAATATTCAGACGAACAGAGAAGAATTACAATGGGAAGGAACGCACTGTGTGTGCAACTCATCACGAGTATCCACAGCATGTGAGTGCCTTTGCTCCACTAATACTTGAGAGTAACACTGTATATCAAACTACTCAGCATTATACTTCATATATCTCATATCATACCACAGACTTGCCCTTGTTTCATACAATCCAGCTTTAAAAAAAATAAATAAAAAATCAAGGTATAAATTATTTAGGTATTTTAAAAATAAATATTTTTATTAACCATTTAAATTCCTATGTCCACAATGTAATTATTATTTTTATTAATAGCAAAATTTTTATTAAAGAATATAGTTTTATTGCTTATAATTATTAATATACTGACAGCCCCAGTTTCTGTTATTAAATATACCATATATCATAATTAAATACTTAAGTAATAATTATAGCTTATATAAGGGGACTTTGAATATTGTGTTGGACAGCTGGGGGCCTTTAAGTCAAAAAGGCTGAGATCCACTAATATAAACACAATTGGCACCAACTTGTGTTCAGTTATCAATTATATTGAAAACGGCTTCAGAAGACTTCAATATTAATATTACTGTACTACAGGGGTGTCCAAACTCAGTTCTGGAGGGCCACTGTCCTGCAGAGTTGAAATTCTGGCCTAAACTCTGCAGGACAGTGGTTCTCCAGGAGCAGGATTGGACATCCCTGCTGTACTATAATATTCAATAGTAGGCTATTACTATAACAGTACAAACGGTTTATTTTCTGATAATGAACGGCTGACTGTGCACTATCTCTTACACAATTCCATAATTCATACATAATTGTCTTTTATGAACAGGGAGTATTTCAATACACACTTGAAACAGTAGTGGGCTTCCTGGTGCCATATGTGATCATAGTCAGCAGTTATGTGTGTATCCTTCGCCGCCTCAGACAGACCATGTTCAAGAGAAGGATACGGAGTGAGAACCTTATTCAAGCCATTATTGTGACGTTCTGCATTTTTTGGCTTCCTTACCACTGTATTAATATAGTGCAAGTAAGTCGTTTTTATTTCAATCTCTCTTTGGTAATCTTTTTCCAAATCTTCCTAAGCAAAATGTATGAATTACCATTTGTCTTCTGATCAGGTGGCAGCAGCTCTTACATCAGATGGATCACTCAAAAAGAGGTGAGTTGAAGATTTTAAAGTATGGTCCACAGATATTTCACCAAATGTCAACAGAACCATTGTGACCACCTTCTCTGTCTATCCCCAGACTGGATAACATCTGGCAGTCCAGCCGTGCGGTTACGTCCGCTTTGGCTTTTATCAGTAGTTGTGCCAATCCGGTCCTCTACGCCTTTGCTGGACGCTCCTACATCAAAGCTGATGGCTTGGCATTCATGGCCAGACTCTTTGAGGGCACTGTCCTGGACTATGGTGCACGGAGAAGCCGTTAGAACAGATGTCATCAGGCTCTAAACCTCATTGGAGCGCAGACACAAATTAATCTTGGACAATAAATTGGATTCTTTTGCATCAGTTTGTATTGTGACTGATACTGTTGGGAATAAACAGGTCAACAATTTCATCTAAAGGGAAAGCAGCCTAAAGACCTATAGTGTTTTTTAAAATTTGATTTAACTCCATTATAAATGAGCTATATGCAGCTTGCTTTCATTTTAAATTAGCCTTAAAGTTGACAAACTGCTGATACAGGATTACCCCCATTTGAAGACTGCATTGCCGTTACACATTCATTTGAATAACCACGGTAAATCCAGACTTACATTCTGTGTATATATAAAATCTTTGCATTACCTCTTGTGAATTTGAACAAAGATTGCGTAAATACTTAACCGTGTATACATTTACAGGACTGGAATTATTAAGTCACCAGCAAATGATCACAGGTATTTTAGAGTCATTGTGAACTCACTTTTGAAAGTACAAACTCATGCAGGAACCACACCTTTATGGGCTTTCTTGTTGGAAATATCTAAAACAATTTAAAACAATTAAATTGTTTAAAAACTGTTTATGCATAAAGCTACTAAAGTGGTCACACACGAAAGGAAACACCCAATCTCTTTTTATAGCGGACTTTAAAATTAATTGCTTGTACACAACCCACACCATGAATCAGCCATGTATTTTAAAATGAGAATTTATTGTAGCAGTTTCAAATCATTACATCACTGACTGACAGTATATTGCTGGCATGTTTCAGAGTTCCAAGGATAGCAAGCACATGGACATACTATTCTACAAGTTACAATTATACTAGTTTTCTACGAAATAATTGGGTTTTTAAAATAAAGGTCAGTGGAGTTCATTCAAATCAATAGAAGTCAGTCTGGTCACATGAAGTAAATACCTAAAAAAAAAAAGAAAGAAAAAAGAAAAGAAAATGTGATTAATACAAAACAGATATTAAATAAGTGGTGCTTTCACAGTCTGAACTTTGTACCAGAAAAAAAAAGCCTACCTTACTCAACACTTTACTGCTTTCAGTCGCTAAGGTACCTGCAGAATATTAGTGAAGAGATTAGAACAGACATACTAAACTGGGGTTCGTTCTCACTTCTGAGCATTTTTTATTTTTTTTATTTTATTTTTTAAAATCAGAGCATGTTAATAATCACTGGCTATCAGAAACACGGATTTACATGCAACTCATCACTTCAGCACTCGCTTGCACGAGACACAAGATTTGCACTCACCTCATATCCATAAATGCGGGTGCCTGTAAAAAGTAAACGAACATCGCAGATTACAAAAAATCCGACCGTTTAGACATAACTGGGGTTCGGTTTCACCGCTTAACACTTTAATCGGAGCATGCTAATAATCACTGGCTATCAGAAACACGGATTATCATGCAATTCATCACCTCAGCGGGAGACATTTGCTCGCACGAGGCACGCGAGATTTGAACTCTC